TGATTTTTGGTAAAACTATTCTCAGACTTCATAACACTAGATAAAGTGACACGAGTCCATGACATTTCACAAGTGATATCAGCAAACATTGCCATATTAACTGAAATTACGTTTCTGTTTTTTTTTTTTTTTATTATTTAATCAGTACAATGTATCTCTTTCTGCGATAGACCGAGCCGCTCGGATTGAGTAATCGGAGATCCGAGTTCGAATTTCAGTCGAATCCATTACATTTACTTACGTACTAATAACCTTGGGAAAAGTATAAATCCCCTGCTCCTCCTCACTCCAAGGTTTGGGCAAATATCAGTACAGACCGGGTTCTATAGCCTTGGATGACAACTGGTCTACCGCAGAATGATATAGAAAACTACTGCGGGAAAAAATCTGCTTCGTCAGTCATGTATCAAAAGGTACATGATTGCTTATAAATGTGTTTTAACAGTTTCGAATATATTCGAATATTTACATAATACATATCCTATTCATTTCGTATTGAGCCAACCCGCATTTCCAGACAGAGAATAAATAATTCCGTAATGTAGGTCCAAAATGGCTGCAACGGGGGGGGTGCGGGTGAGAAGAAAATGAAAATGAACCGTTTTCTATAAAGAACGCACAAAGAAAAAAAAAAACTGATGCAGCTTCGGAAAGAAATATAAAGGGGAGACAGGCCACCCCCTCAAGATAAGGCTTCAAGAACGCCAGAAAGCTGTAACACGAGGGGAAGTGGAAAAATCAGGCGTGGCTGACCACATATGGAGAGAGAAGGGAGATCACCGCCCTCTCTGGGATCAGGGTGAGATCATAGACAAAGAACATCATTGGAAAATTCGTAAACTTAAGGAATCAGCATATTTGTTAGGCCACAAATATCTCCTGAGCCGACCAAGCATAGAAATGAATACAATGTGGGAAGCAGTAATAAGGAGTGCCAGAGAAAAGCATTAATAACAACAAAAATTGCAATATGAGCTCTGGTGAAAACATGAAATGATAATAGCAGAAATATGAGCACTGGTTAAAAAATAGTTGCTGAAGACAGGTTTAATTACACAGAAGTAGTCCGATTTTTTCTTGTCGATAACTCCAGAACGGTAGGTTTTATCATAATTTAATTGTTAATTCGAGTTCACCCGGAAATATGACGATTTGGGCAAAATTTAATCGATATTTAGCGCGGGACTTAAAAAGCAAATTTACCGATCCAGCGACTAGACCCAAAGAGTTGTGAGATCATTATCAGGTTAAAAAAAACATACGAACAAGAAATGGCGTAACATCTACCCTGGGTACATGTCAGCATCTCCGGCAAACTGGGTTATCTATGGAAACTGGAAAGCATGGAGCCGGGACGGAGTTTCACAAGCGAGAAGTGCGAGAAAAGAAACTATTAGCGTAGAACTTACGGTTGCATCTAGCCAGCTCAACGGTAAACTGATGAGCTGTCTTCAACAGCCTAGTGCTGCACTCAAATTTAAAAAAAATGTCTAAGTACCATAGCGAAGAGTGATATTTATTTGTAAATATTTACAAAGTGTGGCACAAGACCAAAATGACGAATGAGGAAAAGGACGGCCTTCTTTTGTCTTAACGTTAAACTTAGCTAGCTACAAACACAGCACAATATTCCTAACATCAAAACAACGCATTACCTTTCTTACTGCATTCGCCATAATACCTCATTGTCTCTACGAAAATACTAACTAGTCCCCATATGTACAATTCATTGTCTGTGGGGGGGAGGGGAATAAAACAACAAATTTACCATCGCGAAGAGCGATATTTATTTGTAAATATGTACAAAATGTAGTAAATGGCTAAAATGGCGATCAGGAAAAGGGCGGTCTTCATCTGTCTTAAGTTAGCTAGCCACAAACACTGACTCAGACACTCCACATTATTCCTAACGACAAAACAATACATTCTTACTTACCTTACATACTACAGCCAACATTATACCACATTGTCTCTACGAAAATACTAACTAGTCCCCATATGTACAATTCATTGTCTGGGGGGACGAAATTAACAACAATTACCATAGCGAAGAGCTCGTCGGAACAGCCGCCATAAAAGTATTTATAGAAAATGCACAATGAGTGTAAGTGACTGATGCCGAGCCGCCAGATCAGGACCAATAATATTGCTGATTCTTTCTTAGATTTTATCAATGACTAGCAGTAGAGCCCGGCGTTGCCTGGGATGTAACAGTAAGAGATAGATCAAGTATCGACCATCATAAAGACTGAAAAATAAAATTGACAAAGATTATTGTTTAAGGTTGACGGACACGCATGTCTTAATTATTTTTTTTTTTTTTTTTTTTACGAATTGGTCAAATCCAAACTCAAACAAAAGAATTGTTTTCAATCGTTATGAGTCTACCGATTGAATAGAATTTTATATACAATTGTCTTGTAAATGGAATTTTTAAAGCATTCTGAATGTAAAAATAAAGAAAAAGTGTGCAAGACAATAAGAAACACTACCTGCCAAAAAAAATGAAGGTTTGTTGAAATCGGTTGAAAAATGTAGGAAATCTGATTCCATATATAAACGAACACACACACACACACACACACACACACACACACACACACACACACAACCTGGGTTTTATAATAAGTATAACTCGATATGAGTTGTACCCCTTTCATTCTGGTGATGCCTCTTAATCGTGTTTTCAAATTGATTTCATGCAAAAACAGTTGTGTTTTTCTAATTTTTATCGATGTCAGAACCACCGCAAGGTAATTTTACGCAGTCCTGTGAAGTTTTGTTGAAATCGGTTGAAAAATGTAGGAAATCCGATCCAATATATAAACGTACAGACACACACGCACACACAATCTGCGTTTTATAATAAGTAAGATAATTAGATATATAACAGGAGTACTTGACCATATATAGCATCATTGTTCTAAGCTTGAACGAATGGTAGACTTATAGATATGTAAGATGGAAAGAACAATTGTCTCGCAGAACACAGAGAACCAAGTTATTTGGCAGCTAACATAGCAGTAGATTCAGTATAGTCTTTCCACTTCATGTCAGTCAAGAATGTTAGTCCAAGAAGGTGCAAAGAATCGCTCTACTTTCTGGGAGTCTCTTAGATGATTAATAAAAATCAGTTTCGTTCTGGAGGCGTTAAAATTAACATGCCATCCTTTGAAAACAGACTTTCTTTTTAAGTGCCATGTCCTTTCAGGACGTAGGCGATCATGGCTCTCCACCTACCTTTATCCTTTGCAGCTCTCAACAGGTTCCTTCTATCTACTTCCTCCACAGATCACGTTCTGTCATGCACTTGCTTAAGCCCGCTAGGTATGTCACGCCTTCTTTTCCCTTGTATCTCTTTCCTTCTATTCGACCTTTATGTGCCGTGTCCCTTCAGGACATGGGCGATCATGGATCTCCACTTCCTCCTATACCTTGTATCTCTCAATAAGTTTCGTCTCTCTGCTATCTCCCCTAGCCGACGTTCTGTCATCCACTTGATATCTCATGCGTTGCTTTCCTTTGTCTTTTTTTCCCTCGATTCGACCTGTGAGTATCCGATTCTCCAGGCCCTCTTTTCTCATTACGTATCCGAGATATTTCACCTGCCTCTTCCTGATGTTAAGTTTAAGCTTCCTACTTGTTTGCATCCTCTCCAAGACCTTATCGTTGCTCACACGCTCGGTCCATGATATCCTTAGCAACCTTCTGTATAACCACATCTCCGTCGCCTCGAGTCTCTTCTTCCTCAGTGAGGAAACCGTCTAACGTGAAAGTCTTTTTTGACATCTGGCGCCAATTTGACCTTACCGTACGGATCAGACTGACAGTCGACACAGGAGTAGATTGTTGTGTCATCTGCAATACTAAAAAATAACAACGAACAGGTGAATAGCAACCGAAAATGTGCACTTCTTTCTGCCGAAACCCCCTAATGTTGACTATTTTGATTCCCAGATAAATTCCAGTCCGCTGTGAATGAGAGTTGGATTTTGATGAAGCTCTTACGGCGTATGTTATTTCGAATCAGAGACGTTTCATTTTTGATTTCATTTTACTTGTCATTTCCGATAAAGTAAAGCAATTAGCAATCGTCAGTGACTGGAGGTGCCTTTACAGGTTGTAATTACGGCCATTTCTTTCACACTTATATATTTCCTTTTTCTGCTTAAAGGTAAAATATCGCACCAAGAAAATATGTCCATTAGCAGTGTGGAGTTAATGTTCCTATTATTTTAATTATATTGTTATTTTAGCACAAAATAATGATAAAATATATTGATTTAATATTGCTAGAGCGTTACCAGGTAAAGCATAATATCAGATTATTCACAGTGCACACACATGCGCATTAAGGCAGGTTGATTTTTTTCCTTCTCTTCAGAAAGTCGACATTGTGCTCAGTGTAAAATATGGAGTTTGATGTGATAAGTACGGACACCAAAAACTAGATTCATAGCTCTTACCAATTCTTGAGAATTTAGTTTTAAATATCGACTCAAGAAATGGAAATACATCATTTCTGTTTTTGCTTACAAACTAACTTAAAAATTTTACTATTTTAAGAATAAATCTAAATAAAGTTGACATTTTTTATTACATACATTGAATGGAAATACATCCAAACCAAAATTGTAATTATGAATCACTACATGGAAAATATGCAGTTTTTTTTCCCTGTACTCGATAAGTAAAAACTCTAAAAAATTACAAATGTCTTCTCAATGATTAAGATTTGTTAGATCATAATTACTAAAAATTAAAAAAAATAGATAAAAGTGTATTTAACACCATAATACTGTTGGGTACAAATTATAAGACAAAATGTTTTAAATTTAAATTGTTTATTGAAAATCACACTAAAACTACTGCATTGTATAATATATTACATCATAATACAGTTTGGTTTGGTTTGTTTTACGGCATATGAACCTCAATGTGTTACTTAATGCCGACATGATTTTTATTGCTGGTTATATTTTCTATCTATCTATCTATCTATCTATCTATCTGAGTATATATTGGTTTGGTTTATTTTTTGTTTTACGGCATATCAACCTCGATGGGTTTTTTAATGCCGACATGATTTTTATTGCTGGTTATATTTCTATCTATCTATCTATCTATCTATCTATCTATCTATCTATCTATCTATCTATCTCTGTATATATTTGTTTGGTTTGTTTTGTTTTACGGCATATCAACCTCAATGGGTTATTTAATTCTGAGCAAATTTTCATTGTTGGTAATATTTTTTTTTCCAAAAATCTAGTTCTGGTGAAATTTTTTCCTTCAAAAATCTATTTCTCGTAAGAATTTCCTTCGCTTGTAATATTTGTTTTTCCCAAATGTATTACTGGTAATAATTTTTTTATACAAAGTATTTCTGTTACTAAAACCTACTTTTACACTTTCATAGTGCTTTGATCCGAGTTTGATGGCTAACTTTTTGCCCATAGCTGGGACCCTAACAGGTGTTACCACCCTACGTCAGGGTGAACCTGGGAACACCAGCAATTAAGAGGTGGTTCCACGCTCCTCAAAACCTCCTGATCAGAGGCCTTGCTGTTGGATGTAGATTATCGTCTTGAGTACTGACACCAAAAAATAGATTTATAACTTTTCCGAATTTTTGAGAAATACTTAATTTCTGCAGGTTTTTGCTTACAAACTAACTTAAACATTTTGATATTTCAAGAATAAATCCAAATAAAGTTGATATTTTTATATTAGATATATTGAAAGGAAAATATATTCGAACTAGATTTCTAATTATAAATCATCACAAGCAAAATATACATTTTTTTACTGGGTTTTTATAATAAGTATAACTCGATATGAGTTGTCCCCCTTTCATTCTCGTGATGCCTCTTAATCGTGTTTTCAACTTGATTTCATGCGAAAACAGTTGTGTTTTTCCAATTTTTGGCGCTGTCAAAACCACCGCAAGGTAATTTTACGTAGTCCTGTGAAGTTTTGTTGAAATCGGTTGAAAAATGTAGGAAATCCGATCCAATATATAAACGTACACACACACACACACACACACACACACACACACACACAAAATCTGCGTTTTATAATAACTTTTAAGTAAAAACTAAAAAATTACAAAAAAGGCTATTCAATGAATTAGATTTGTTAGATCATAATTAATAAAAATAAAAATTAGATAAAAGTGTATATAACACCATAATACTACTGGGCACAAATTATAAGACAAAATGTTTTAAATTTGCATTATTTATTGAAAACCACATTAAAACTACTGCATTGTATAACTTATTATATCATGATATACAACCTTCTGCAAATTAATTGAAACAAACCGAATAATTACTTTATTATTTATTTTTTTTCGTATTTTTCCAATGAAACATGACTCAATGCACATGTTATTACTTTGTGTGTCCATTCCAAAAGTCGTTCCTTGCAGACTGACCACAGATTCTCGATTGGATCTAAATCAGGACAGTTTCCGGGCTATAGTCTATAGTACTTTGATTTGCTCACTGGTAAGGCTTGCCAGTGTGTTCGTACAGCGTTACAATTTTCATACGGCTCTCTGGAGTAAAGTCCATCGCAGACAATGACCGTAAGACAACTAATAGACAGTTGAGACAATAGTGTCTAGGCGTGATGAAAATCTGATGCAATTACGGATAACGTAATATTTTTCAAGGCCAAACAAATTTCATTATACACCCTGAAAATAGATTCATATTACTACACACCGCTGCAAATGACCTAGCCTGAGGAAAAAATAGAAGTCGACTACACCCTATCACTCCAGTGGGTCTAAAACTGACCGTATGGGGATAGAAAGGAAATTAAAGCGGCTGTTTCACCTATTTTGAACAAAGGTGTAGCTAAATTGTTCAGTATGATTTCGTTTTGAAGGTCTTATTTGATGCTACAATAATTTAATAATAATGTGCTTGTGTCATACAGTTTGTTCCTATATAATTTGTAAAGCTTCAGTAAAATATAAATTTTTATAAGGCTGTGGTATAAGATTTTCACTGATCACTGGAATGAAATTCCAACGTTACGATTTTAAACCTAAACTTAAACTTTAAAACCATTTCCTCAAAACATGGTAAGGATCTGGAAAAAAAATTGTTGTTATTTATCATGTCAAACACCAATTTTCATATTGCTATAACAAAGTTCCAAAATCCTCCTGCCCTAATACACAAACTTACAAGCAAGTACACGAATTTCGTGTTCGATATAACACAATTTGTCTCACATCAGATATCCCGAAAAATATAAAGATTTATGAGACTAAGTTATTATTTGCTGATAGAATGAGGCACTGGTATAGTCACAAATTTTGTTCTGAATACTGGTGGCTCTCTTAAGAGTATGTTAAATAAGGATAAATCTCTCTTCAAACAATCTGAAGTGATATCTTCTACATATAAATCAGATTGCGTTGCTCGTAAATTCTCTTCCAATTCTATTCTCGACTCATTTAAAGTACATTTGTCTGATTTCCCACTTCGAACTGTCTCTCTACTGTATGCTATGCATATAACTTTGTATAATTGTTTCCAGTATCATTTGAAAAACTTGATCCGTACAACGAATGTGGACTCGACAGTATCGCTGCTATTTTATCCTTAAGAAATATGCCCTTGAACTGGCGGCCTCTGTTCATTGCTATTTCTTTCTTTCGATATCGTTAGGAATCCTCTTCTGTAGTTCCTGATTTTAAGAACTCTGATAAAAAGACTAATCCTATCGACGAATCGACCTATTAGGCTTCTACCTCCATTTTTTTCTTTATTTCTAAAAATATATAAAAATAAATAAATAATAATTATATAAAATCACCATCATCATCATCGTCGTCGTCATCATCATCATCATCGTTATCATCATCGTCGTCGATATCATTATCATCATCATCGTTATCATCATCGTCGTCGACATCATTATCATCATCGTCGTTATCATCATCGTCGTCGACACCATTATCATCATCGTCGCCGTCGTCATTATCATCATCATCGTTATCATCATCGTCGTCGTCATCATTATCATCGTTATCATCATCTTCGTCGACGTCATTATCATCATCATCGTCATCATCATCGTCGTCGTCGTCATTATCATCATCGTCGTTATCATCATCGTCGTCATCGTCATTATCCTCATCGTCATCGACATCATCGTCATCATTATCATCATCGTCGTTATCACCATCGTCGTCGTCGTCATTATCATCATCGTCGTTATCATCATCGTCATCGTCATCATTATCCTCATCATCGTTGTCATTATCGTCGTCGTCGTCATCATCATTATCATCGTCATCATCGTCGTCGTCGTCATCATTATCATTATCATCGTCGTCGGCATCATTATCATCATCATCGTCATCATCATCGTCATCATCATCATCATAATCAGCAACAACAAAACGACATTAATTCTCTTTGGTTTAATCCATCAAAAACTTATTTCACTTTCCTTTCACGTAACCAGGTTTTTGGAAAATGTTTTCCATGTACTCCACACGCTATGTTATTTGTTCTGCTTCTACATTCAGGATCCAAAATAAAATTTCTGCACTTACCTTGATAAATTTCTGCTGTTCATTTCTTTCCATAATGTTGAATTTAGGATTGATACGAATAACATGTGTCACGTCAAATATTATATTTAGCAGCTAGACTCGCAAAGTTTTTGTATTTGTACAGTCGACACTACAGAAGGGTCTCAGAAACTGCTTTTTTTCATATATATATATATATATATATACATATATATATATATATATATATATTAAACCAATACACGGACGAAACAGTAATGATAGACTGTTTTTGTTATCAAATCACTACAAAAATAGCCATTTTGTTTCAACACTCCCGGTGTCTTATCAAGTGATGATGTTGAATGCCATATATATATATATATATATATATATATATATATATATATATATATATATATATATTGTGTGTATCAGAAGATACGAAAAATTTTTACATAAAATAAATAGACAACACTTGTCTATATTATTTAAGGAAACGTGTGTATATATATATATATATATATATATATATATATATATATATATATATATATATGATGTTCAATGTCATATATATATCTATATATATATATATATATGACATTGATAACTTGATAATTCTCTGTGGTTGAATGGTTAACTTCAGATTACAGGTTGGATTCCTGTCAAATAAGGCTTTCAGGTTCGATTCCTGTCAGAGAGCGCATATTTTCTACGAAATTTCTTGAACATTCAGACGTGTCAATGTAATAAATTCTGTTTAATTAAAAAGCAGAGCATTTACATTTTATCTATACAAATAACGTATAAACAGAAAATATATTAAATAATTGACGGACTTAAAACCAATATATATATATATATATATATATATATATATATATATATATATATATATATATATATATATATATATATATATATATATATATATATCAAATGGGGATTATAATCCGAAAGAGTGATAGGACAAAGAACAATATATTTGCTTATATATATATATATATATGCGTGTGTGCTGGGCAGCAGTTTTTCGTTTATGTTTTCAGTTAAAATCTGAATATGTTTTAAGAAACGTCTGAGTAATTTATATTACTGTAAGCCATTATCAAATATTTGTAAGAATTTATATTGAAACTGTATTTGTACATTATGTGCGTTTTTTATTTATCTCAGTTTTATCGTTTTTTAAATATCGTATCTTCGCATGTCATGTCGGCTTTTAATGTATCGCGTCTTCACATTTTAGTATTTGAAGTCGTGTTAGTTTAGCTTTTAGTCATGAAATATATTTAGGATGTCTCTTTCTGAATTTGAAAGAAAGGGTATCTTGATTTTGGTTTGCATGTTTTTATGGAAAGATTGATTAAACATGCCTCAGTCTCGGGAAGTGATAGAGTCCTGCTCAAGATGATATCTCAGGCCCAGTTTATAGACTGCTGTTTTCCTTTTTTTAGTGCTAATGCTTGTCGTATTTGTAACTGTTTTTTTATAGTTTATATGCTATAGTATTTTTGATTTTTTGATAAAGATTTGTTGGATTTCTTTTCTGCTCGTTTAAATAAAAAATTATCGGTTAAATGACAAGTTAATCGGTGTGATGGTGTTGTGGTTATGTAACTAATGTATGTGTTGTTTGATTTATTATGACTAGACCGACATCTCTCAAATGGGAATTTGAGTTTTTTTGAGTTTTCACAAGAGTGATAATGTTAGAAGTTTATAAACAAAATGTCTTTTCAAAAAAGAACATTATTTGTCTATAATGTTCGCTCTGTGCAAGGCCCAAGAATCACTCGATGTAGAAGATTTGAGAATAAAAGGATATGGAGGGGGGCGTAGTGATCGTGGAAGTAACCTATTAGGAGTCGGTTCCCCAAAGCAGCGATTTCTGGGAAGCAGCTGCGTAAGAGGAACGTACTTCTCACTAATGGAACAGGAATGGAAAGGGGTGGGGTGATTACTAAAAAGGTTAAAACTACACATATGGATATCTAATGAAATATAACAGCGTATTTTTACAGACGCGTAAATTGGATTACCAGAAAAAAATATTCTGCTATAACTATCATCAGAGGAAACATTTTATAATTATGAATATAAAATATGAAAATAGTAAATTTAAAAAAAAAATGACATGATTCATTCAAAACTTTTAAATAAAAGGATTGTTGTTGTCGATACATAACGACTGTCATATGAAATTATTACTAATATTTAAAAAAAAAATGGTTACACGATAGTTCTTTTCTAGTCCCCGCTTAAAATCTCTCAGTCGCATGTGTGAATAGATGTGTATATTTAGGTGTGTGTGTGCCTGAAGGTATGAAGGGGTGTAAAGCTTATCAACACAGAAAATAGTATCGAAAAGGGGATATTCGATGTCCGGCTGCTGAGTCTATGCATATTCATTTGGCGCAAATCAATATACCAGCACTCTGTCCTATTATCTTGACCAAATGTACTGTCCATGAGATTTCAGGATAACTTCCCAGACTATCTATCTATCTATCTATCTATCTATCTATCTATCTATCTATCTATCTATCTATCTCAGTCTATTCATGATCTATCTATCTATCTATCTATCTATCTATCTATCTATCTATCTATCTATCTATCTATCAGTCTGTTGATATCTATAATTATATCTCAAATTGTTCATTCTCTCTTTTTTTCTCTCTCTCTCAATCTCAGTCTGTTCCTATCTATCTGTCTATCCAGTTTTATTTCTTCACTACTGAACATATGTACGAATGTGTATTGCCTCAGAGGAAGAGGAAAAATGACAGCGATGTTTTTGATAGCATCACTTTATGGATGCTAAAAGGACAACTATTACAAGAGATAGACGCACATATCCATTTATATTAAGATTATTATCTCATCCTTGCCACTAATACTAAATTACTTTAATCTATGTTGTCAAGGGGAAGATGACAAGAAAGTCGAATGATAATATCTTTCATATTTGTTAGAAGAGAACGAGAAAAAGAAGTTATAAATCCTCCAGACACGCACCATATATATATATATATATATATATATATATATATATATATATATATATATATATATATATATATATATATATATATATATATATATATATGTATATATATATATATATATATATATATATATATGAGATGTTTCTAATATGGCAAGTTTGCTGCGTCCATTCTTTTAAATTATCCTCTGTTCGTTAATGAAAAATTGTGGCCTGACATAATTATGTATCAGCTTGTAGTTTTTTCTCTCTCTCTTTTTGTCTATAACACTTTTCTGTCTGTCTTTCCTGTCTGTCTGTTTGTCTCTCTTCATCTCTCTTCATCTCTGTCATTGGCTTTTATTTCTTTTCCTCTTATATTCCTCTTTATTCCACTGTCTGTTTTCCATATTTAATAACTCTCTAATCTTTCCCGCTTCATCTCTTATCATAGAATAGACGTTCTTTTTTTTTTTTATCACCGCTTCTCTTTCTTTCATATAACTATAATCCTTTCTATCATTTTTTTCTTCTTTTTCCCTTTCGAATTTCTTTTCCGTCTTCCTCTTCTCTCTGATTTTCTTTTCTTTTTCAGTTTCTTTTCATTTTTGTCACGTTTGAAATTTATTTATTTTTTCTTCCTTCTTATCTTTTCTCCCATTTTTTTTCTTCTTGCTTTCTTTTGTTCATTTCCCCGTGTCTTATCTGTCTTTCTATTTCTCTGATTTGAATTACGAGTGGATACCGAAAAATCTAATATTTACTCAATGGCTTAGGTATTGGAAACATTTTCAGGCCGGGAACTTTTCTTTTTTGTTAAGCTCCAGGTTAGGACCAAGGAAGAACAACACGAACACAAGAGTAGAAATAACGAAGGTATATTTACACGAAATAATAATATAATATGTGGAAGGTGTTATTATGTCTGGTTTCGACATTCATTAAAAACATGGCGCGTGGAACTAGAACAGTCTACCCCCGCGAGCAAAATAAAGGGTTCAGTTCGACATTCCAACCAACTGAAGAAGGCCGGAGCGTACAACGGCCGAAACGTTATAATAAATATGGCGACAAAGATGAGGACAATAGTCCGAATAATGTAAATAATGTATATAATACCGCATCTCAGAAATATAGACAGAAACATTTTCATGGTAATTGTTCTGATGAGCCTTCCTCCTTGGCGCATCGGCTGCGTGAATTTAAGCGTGCTACTGGACTGGCAATTAGGTCTCATCGTTGTACCGTTGAACTAGCTAGATGCAATCGTATTTTCGAATGTAACATTTTCTTTTCTAGCACTTCTTGCATGTGGAACTCCCTTCCGATTTCTTGCTTCCCTGACAACTACAATCTTCAAATATTTAAATGCAACGCCAATCGCCATCTCCTGTCTTTGCGAACCCTTTTCCTTTAGTGTCCTTTATTCTCGCGTCCCCAGTAACGTTTTTTCATTCTCTTTCACTTCATGTAAACCTGTTGCGTTCTCGTGACATTATCGAATTGTTTGGGGTGAAAAAAAATTCTCTCTTCACGTCTTATCCACCTTCTCTTTCTCATTATTCCGACTGTACTTCACCTTATCTTTCTTTCCTAGTTTCCTTTTTTTTTGTTCTTTGTTATATCTTTGATCCTTTTTAGGTAAAAGCTAAAGTCCATCAAAGTAGACCGTGGTTAATGGAAGAAACGTGTGAATGCTGTGGGACATCACGACGGACGACGTATACATAGGCAACTAGTCCAGTTGTCTAAGTATACGTGTGCTTTTGCATTCCTTACTTTTATTCTCCTCATTCTTCGCAGATTTCTCTTTTTAACTCTTCTATGTATCCGCTAACTAAGGCAATAAAGCCACTAAGATACAATAGGTAACCGCGTATGAAAGAATATAAGACAAATAAAAACTGTTTTAAGAAGCGAGAACAATAAAAGAAGACAGTAGAAATCGATTTTTTAAAAAACTTTTGAAGATCCTTGTTGGCTAGAAAGCAAGTAGAAAGTCCCACAAGTAAAGAAGTGCGAAGAAATAGACTTCTATCAAAGAACTTACCGTTACATCTAAGCATTTCAGTTGTAAAATGATATGACTTTATTGTAAATCAACTACTGCGCTTAAATTCCTAAAGTCGAGATACCGAAGAGGAAATCGAAATTTATTCTGCAAAATATAGAAAGTTGGCACAAGGCCAAGAGGGGGTGGTAAAAAAGGATGGTCTTCAAATTGTCTTATCTCTAAACATTGCTGGACACAATCTAGAAGGCTCGGTTGATAGCTGCTCGGATTGACGAATCGTAGAGTCTAGTTCGAATTCCAGTCGGATCCATTATATCCCCTTACGTGCTAGTACTCTTCGGAAAGTTATAGATACTCTTCTTCTCTTCCCATGTATGGGTCAATAGCAGGACAGACTTTGTCCTATAACCTTCGGTGGCAACTGGTCTAGGATAAGGGAAAACTCTGAATTCAAACCGGTCTGGAGAGGTATGGACTCCGTCAGTTCATCTTGCCCAAGAAACACCATTTCTACTACGGGTGCAGTATACGTGCTGCCCCTACGGCCGTGATGGGTCAGATGATTCGTGATCGCGCGAGACACAGTTACTGACCCAAGTAGACAACCATATTTCTTGCACTATTTTACTACACCATTCTTACTACATCCAACATAATACCTCTGAATCATAGGACCTACTATAATACCTCTGAATCATAGGACTTCTACCATAATACATCTGAATCATAGGACTTCGACCATAATACATCTGAATCATAGGGCTTCTACTATAATACCTCTGAATCATAGGACTTCTACCATAATACATCTGAATCATAGAACTTCTTCCATAATACCTCTGAATCATAGGACTTCTTCCATAATACCTCTGAATCATAGGACTCTTCTATAATACCTCTGAATTATAGAACTTCGACCATAATACCTCTGAATCATAGGACTTCTACCATAATACCTCTGAATCATAGGGCTTCTACTATAATACTATACTTTTTAAAGCATTCTGAATGTAAAAATAAAGAAAAAAGTGTGCAAGACAATAAGAAACACTACCTGCCAAAAAAGTGAAGTTTTGTTGCAATCGGTTGAAAAATGAAGGAAATCATAGGACTTCTACCATAATACATCTGAATCATAGGACTTCGACCATAATACCTCTGAATGATAGGACTTCTACTATAATACCTCTGAATCATAGGACTTCTACCATAATACATCTGAATCATAGGACTTCGACCATAATACCTCTGAATCATAGGACTTCAGCAATAATACCTCTAAATCATAGGACTTCGCTATAATACCTCTGAAACATAGGACTTCTACCATAATACATCTGAATCATAGATTAGTTAGGATTTCATAGACGAAGTCCTAAGTAGTCTCCACATGTACAATTTTGCTTGTGGGGTGGTGGAGGGGAAGAAAAAACAACAATTTAAACATCTAATTCCAATGTGTGTTTACAATGTATGATTTACCTATTTATAAGAAACTAAGCAAAATATTCTTAGTAATAAGACCCCTAAAATCCTTATACTGAAGACGAAAGCTTGTTATAGCAATTAACATTGAAGTGTTTGTACAAAAGGCATGGAGAAGCTACATTCTGGCATCGAAAAATGACTACAATCGAGATGCCAGGTCAGGTCTATTAACATTGCAGTTTCTTCTTTGGATTTTCCAAGAATCTTTAAATATATAGCAGGAGCACCAGACCAGCTGTGGTAGAGATATTCAAAACATCGAAGAATGATTATAATAGCAAAAATTTATAATATCTGTCAGTCTCCCAAGTAATTTTGGCTGGAATGCTCTGTTTTTTCCTGGTTATATGTTCATATAGCAATAACAAAATTGACTACAGACTTTACTCTTAATTCCTTTATTTATTACTAGCAGTAGAACAACGCATTCTTACTTACCTTTCTTACTGCATTCACCATAATACCTCATTGTCTCTACGAAAATACTAACTAGTCCCCATATGTACAATTCATTGTCTGTCGGGAGAGGGGAATAAAACAACAAATTTACCAACGCAAAGAGCGATATTTATTTGTAAATATGTACAAAATGTAGTAAATGGCTAAAATGGCGATCAGGAAAAGGGAGGTCTTCATCTGCCTTAAGTTAGCTAGCCACAAACACTGACTCAGACACTCCACATTATTCCTAACACCAAAACAATACATTCTTACTTACCTTACATACTACAGCCAACATTATACCACATTGTCTCTACGAAAATCCTAACTAGTCCCTATATGTACAATTCATTGTCTGGGGGGACGAAATTAACAACAATTACCATAGCGAAGAGCTCGTCGGAACAGACGCCATAAAAGTATTTATAGAAAATGCACAATGAGTGTAAGTGACTGATGCCGAGCCGCCAGATCAAGACCAATAATATTGCTGATTCTTTCTTAGATTTTATCAATGACTAGCAGTAGAGCCCGGCGTTGCCCGGGGATGTAACAGTAAGAGATAGATCAAGTATCGACCATCATAAAGACTGAAAAATAAAATTGACAAAGATTATTGTTTAAGGTTGACGGACACGCATGCCTTAATTAGTTTTTTTTTTGTTTTTTTTTTACGAATTGGTCAAATCCAAAGTCAAACAAAAACATTGTTTTCAATCGTTATGAGTCTACCGATTGAATTGAATTTTATTATGAACAATTGTCTTGTAAATGGAATTTTTAAAGCATTCTGAATGTAAAAATAAAGAAAAAAGTGTGCAAGACAATAAGAAACACTACCTGCCAAAAAAGTGAAGTTTTGTTGCAATCGGTTGAAAAATGAAGGAAATCCGATCCCATATATAAACGAACACACACACACACACACAAACAAACAATCTAGGTTTTATAACAAGTATAACTCGATATGAGTTGTCCCTCTTTCATTCTCGCGACAGCGATGACTCTTAATCGTGTTTTCAAATTGATTTCATGCAAAAAACAATTGTGTTTTTCCAATTTTTGGCGCTGTCAGAACCACCGCAAGGTAATTTTACGTAGTCCTGTGAAGTTTTGTTGACATCGGTTGAAAAATGTAGGAAATCCGATCCAATATATAAACGAAAGACACACACATACACACAACCTGCGTTTTATAATAAGTATGATTTCTCGATTGCCCCGGGCTGAATGTAGCATTTACCCTCTTGCTAAAAGTAAAAGATTTAATCAATTGATTCAATATAATCTTTCCCTTTCAAGTCAGCTTAAAGCATTAGTCCAAAAAGGCGCCATGTTTCACTCTCTTGGAGGTTAGCATCAGCCATGGTGATGGATGGTAAAATGGGTTTTCTCAGATGATTAAAAGAAAGCAGTTTCGTTTTCGAGGCGTTAAAATTAACATGTCAATCCTTGTCGCACATAACAACTGATTGGAGGCCATTTTTGAGATCAGCTGCCAATTTGACCTTATCAAATCGATCAGATTTACTATTAAGACAGGAGTAAATAGTTGCATCATCAGAGAATAGATACAGAGTTGAGAAAGCCATTTATGGAAATTGAAAAGAACGTAGATGCAAGGATAGCGCCTTGAGGAACACCTGCATTTACGCAAAAAAACATCTAGATGTGTGGCAATTCAAGCAAATTTCCTTTCGCTATTTAATAAGAAAGACTGAATCATTTTCAAAATTCGCGCTGAAATACCGTAGCCTTTCAAGTGAAGAAGAACAGGATGCC